TCGTCGTACGGCCAGTACCGACTGAACTCTCGGCGCCGCTCCCGGTACCAGTCCCGGAGCCGATCTCAGGGCCGATCTCGTCGGAGGTCTCCATCGAGATCTAGATCAGGCTTTCGGTACTGCTATGACCGAAGGCACCGTTCACCATCTCGGTACAGCTCTGCATCACGCCACTGGTCCTCGGCACCGCGCGGCACCAAGGGACTCGGCACTGTCCCGTATGGCACCGCCTTGGCTGTCCCGCTCCGTTTCTGCGTCATCATGCTCACAAGGTGGCTTCCATGCCCAGGACCAGGGCGAGGGCGATGCAGGCCGTGGCTGGAAGAAGTCCAGGACCCAGGCCAGGAATCCCCACAGTGGTCTTTTTGGACCCCTTGGGCATACCATCAAGCCCAAGGGGCTCTTTCGAGGGCCTCTCATTCCACCCCTTCGGAGCCACGAGTACCAGAGGCCACGGTATCTCCGCCCCCCCCCCCCGGGGGGATGCTGAGGCAACTGCTCCAGTGCCATTGCAGGCCCACTCTGCTAACATGACGGACCTTGAACAGCAAGACCCTCCACAGGAGGGCCTCAGCCAGGGTCCTTTAGCCCCGGGGGTATCTTCCTCGTCCTCGCCGGCCGAGGCGGTGGCGGGCACTACAGTTACGGGTCCTCCCCCTATGGACCTCCGCGCCCACCAGGAACTGCTCCGCAGAGTGGCGTGCAATATGAACCTCCAAGTGGAGGAAGTGGTGGAGGTAGAGGACCCGGTGGTGGACATTCTGTCGGCGGAGACACCGTCCCGAGTGGCCCTCCCCGTCATACAGACTATACAGGCCACTGCCAGGACAATCTGGCAGTCGCCATCCTCTATTCCACTGACGGCCAAGGGCGTGGAAAGGAAGTACTTTGTTCCCTCTCAGGAATACGGGTTCCTTTACACACACCCCCAACCGTGCTCCCTTGTCGTGGCTTCGGTCAACAAAAAGGAATGCCATGGCCAGCAGGCCCGTGTGCCTAAGTCAAAGGACACTAGGCGCCTAGACTTGTTTGGGCGCAAGGTGTACTCAGCGGGAGGCTTACAGCTCAGGGTGGCTAACCAACAGGCACTCCTGGCCGTTATGACTATAATTTGTGGGTATCTATGTCCAAATTCAAAGAGTTGGTCCCACAGGAGTCCAGAGAAGAATTTGGAGCTCTAGTAGAGGAGGGCAAGAAGGTGGCCAGAACCTCCCTACAAGCCTCTCTGGACGCAGCGGACTCGGCGGCTAGGACCCTGGCCTCGGGCATAGCCATGCGCCTTATCTCATGGCTGCAGGTCTCTGGATTACCACCAGAGTTGCAACAGACTCTCCAGGACCTACCCTTCGAGGGCCAGGGTCTGTTCTCTGAAAAGACAGACTCAAGGCTGCAGAGTTTGAAGGACAACCAGGCCATCATGCATTCACTGGGCATGCATACGCCGGTAACGCAGAGAAGGCCCTTCAGGCCGCAGCCCCAGAGATTCTACCCTTCCCCTCGGCCAAGGCAGGACTTCTCGAGAAGACGTGGCCAAGGTAGTAGGAGGAGACAATCTGGCCCTCAGATGGGCCAGAATCAGGGCCCCCCCAAACCATCGGCGGGTCCCAAGCAAAATTTTTGAAGGTGTGCCCGAGGGCGGAGAACCAGTCTCCTTACAGGATCCTTTTCCACCCTTCACCAACCGCCTCTCCTATTTCCTCCCTGCATGGTCCCACATAACATCAGACCGCTGGGTCCTATGCATGGTAGAAAGTGGATACCGACTCCAATTTGTTTTGTCCCCCGCCTTCCCACCCTCCCTCCTCGTCCCTCTTCAGGGACCCCTCTCACGAACAACTCCTTCTACAGGAGGTGCAGTCGCTCCTGGCTATCGGAGCGATAGAAGAGGTTCCAAGAGAACTGCGGGGCAGGGGGTTTTACTCCTGTTACTTCCTAATCCCCAAGGCAAAACGGGGGCTACGGCCCATTCTGGACCTGCGCGTACTCAACAAATTCATGGTAAAGTTGAAGATCCGCATGGTTTCCCTGGGGACCATTATTCCTTCCCTGGATCCTGGAGACTGGATCACCCTCGACATGAAGGACGCGTACTTCCACATAGCGATTTCCCCCCCACCACACACACATACAGGCGTTTCCTCCGCTTTGTGGTCAACCAACAGCACTTCCAATTCACCGTCCTCCCTTTCGGCCTTTTCATGGCCCCCAGGGTGTTTACAAAGTGCATGGCAATTGTAGCTGCTTCCCTTCGTCGACAACAGATTCAAGTGTTCCTGTATCTCAACGACTGGCTTATTTGAGGTCGCTCCAGAGTCTCATGTTCAGACCACCATGACCATGTTCAATCGACTAGGCCTACTGCTCAACGTCGCGAAATCTACTCTAGTACCAACCTAGAGAATAGAATTCATAGGAGCAATCTTAGACTCTGGCCTAGCCCGGACACGCGCTTCCAGTCCATAGCGAACATCGACCGCCGCCTGCAAACCTTCCTGACCTCAACGGTGAAAACATGCCTATGCCTCCTGGGACACATGGCATCTTGCATGTATGTGACCAGGCACGCCAGGCTACAACTATGTCCGCTGCAAGCCTGGCTATCAACAGTTTACTGACCAAGTCGGGACAGTTTGCACACAGTGGTTACCATTCCGCCAGGAATATTAGCCTCTCTAGACTGGTGGTTGGACTCCAAGGTAGTGTGTGAAGGGGTGCCATTTCATGCCCCACAGCCCTCCGTCTCCCTGGTCACGGATGCGTCATCCCTGGGATGGGGGGCCCACCTCGGGAATCTCCGTACACAGGGACTATGGTCGACAGGAGAGTTATCCCTACACATCAACGTACAGGAACTCAGAGCAGTGCGCCTGGCATGTCAAGAGTTCCAACAGCGCATTCAAGGCCGTTGCGTTGCAATCCTCACAGACAACACAACGGCCATGTTTTATATCAACAAGCAAGGGGGAGCCCAGTCGCCCCCTCTCTGTCAGGAGGCCACTCGTCTGTGGGAATTCTGCATAGCCCACTCGATCCATCTGGTGGCGTCGTTTCTCCCCGGAGTCCAGAACACCTTAGCGGACCGCCTCAGCAGATCATTCCTGGCTCACGAGTGGTCAGTTCGCCCGGACGTTATCCATTCTGTCTTCCGGAGGTGGGGCTTTCCCCTGATAGATCTATTCGCCTCTCGCGACAATCGGAAATGCCAGGTGTTCTGCTCTCTCCAAGGTCGCTCCCCGGGTTCTCTTTCGGATGCCTTCCTAATACAGTGGAAGCCTCACCTGTGCTATGCCTTCCCTCCATTCCCGCTAGTTCACAGGGTCCTGCTCAAACTGCACAGGGACAGAGCCCGGCTGATTTTGATCGCCCTGGCGTGGCCCAGGCAGCACTGGTATACCACTCTCCTCGAGCTGTCAGTGGACATTCCCATCCCACTCCTGCTGTGGCCAGACCTGATCACTCAAGACCACGGACGGTTCTGTCATCCCGACCTACAGTCTGTCCACCTCACAGCGTGGATGCTGCATGGCTAAATCAATCTGAGCTGTGCTGCTCTCACTTGGTTCAGCAGGTACTCTTGGGTAGCAGAAAGCCCTCTACCAGATCCACATACTTAGCCAAGTGGAAACGTTTTTCTTACTGGTGCGCCCGGAATCATAAGACCCCCCTACGGGCGTCAGTTCCTGTCATCTTGGACTACCTCTTGTCCTTAAAACAGCAGGGCTTGGCGATATCATCCATCAGACTGCACCTGGCAGCTATTTCAGCATTCCGCCCGGGTAAGAACAGGCGTTCTATCTTCTCCAGTCCCATGGTCACTAGATTTCTCAGGGGATTGGAGCGCCTGTTCCCACGAATTAGACAGCCAGCCCCTATGTGGGATCTTAACCTGGTCCTCTCCAGGCTCATGGGTGCCCCCTTCGAGCCCATGGCGACCTGCTCGCTCCTGTACCTTTCCTGGAAAACAGCCTTCCTCGTAGCTATCACCTCGGCGAGGCGGGTGTCTGAGCTCAGGGCACTCACATCGGAACCACCATATATGGTGTTCCACCAGGACAAGGTACAGCTGTGACCCCACCCCACCTTCCTTCCTAAGGTGGTGTCTGTCTTCCATGTCAACCAAGACATCTTCCTTCCAGTCTTTTATCCGAAGCCACACGCTTCTCAACGAGAACAGCTGCACTCCCTAGATGTTCGCAGGGCCCTCGCCTTTTACATCGAGCGAACAAAACCTTTTAGGAAGACGACCCAGCTGTTCGTAGCTGTAGCAGATTGGATGGTCTCCACTCAGCACATCTCGTCCTGGATTACATCATGTATCCGTGTGTGCCATGACTTAGCTGGTGTCCCAGCTACACACCTGACCGCCCACTCCACTCGGGCTCAAGCTTCGTCCTTCACCTTCCTGGCGCATGTGCCCATACAGGAGATCTGTAGGGCAGCGACTTGGTCATCGGTAAATACCTTCGCTTCCCACTATGCCATAGTGCAGCAGTCCAGGGATGATGCGGCATTTGGTTCAGCGGTCCTTCGCTCCGCGACATCTCACTCCGACCCCACCGCCTAGGTAAGGCTTGGGAGTCACGTAATTGGAATTGATATGAGCAAGCACTCGAAGAAGAAAAGACGGTTACTCACCTTTGTAACTGTTGTTCTTCGAGATGTGTTGCTCATATCCATTCCAAACCTGCCCTCCTTCCCCTCTGTCGGAGTAGCCGGCAAGAAGGAACTGAGGGGGCGCTGGGTCGGCAGGGACATATATCCGGCGCCATAAGCGTGCCACTCCAGGGGGCTCCACAGCCGACCCACCGGGTGTTACTAGGGTAAAAATCTTCCGGCGATCATGCACGCAGCCCGCACACACCTAATTGGAATGGATATGAGCAACACATCTTGAAGAACAACAGTTACAAAGGTGAGTAACCGTCTTTTTTCTCACACAGCTGCCTACCCTTTACTCTGTTCCATGGCTTCCATTCTTCCTTCCTTTGTTTTTATCCAAGAAATCCCCAGGGGAAATTCTGCTCTGATCAAATGCCTGAACACGGAGCTCTTGAGACTCAGCCAGGATCTGACGGAGGAGCTCAACCCCAGTGTGTATGTGGCCCTTCGTCTTTCTGCTGACCACAGTCTGGAGAAAGAGGCCCAGTACCTCCAGAGACTGAAGAATGTTTTCCAGCCCAGTGCCAGCAGGTATGGCCAATGGAGCCCAAATCCCACCATCAAGAGTGGAACAAGGAGCAGGGCCCCTCTGTATCTTGCCACTTGCAGGAGCACCCTTGGGGCAAAGGCATTCTAGATGAACACGCTTTCCCCCTGCCCTCCCCAAAGCCTGTCTTATTCCTGTCATGGGCTCCTCTCAAAGGGGCTGGCTTTCCGCTCACTTGTGTGTGGTGACCTCCCACACTTGCCCCAAGATCCTGTGCCCCAGCAGCTCCAGGGGAGATGCCCAGACAGTGTGAGGGTAGGCATGGCTCTCTGCTGATTTACTGTTGGCGTGGGGCCGGATGCATTTACGGGCTCCTGTCAGGTACACAAAAGGCTATGGTCAGTCAGGCCCCAAACTTTGCTAAGGATCTTCAGAGACGCCGCTGTCCCAGAGCTGGTGTTTGCTGCCCCTGGGGACACAACTCCCCTCAGCCGGGGGGTGGAGGAGGCGGGAGGGCTGGGGGCACGTGTGGGAAGGAGGAGCCAGGTGGTGAGTATTTGACTTGTGTTGTCACCTCAGCTCCGTAGCAGGTGGCCAACAGAAGCAGCCCAACACGGGCCGCCTGGCTCTGTACCTCCTAGCACTGCGGGCTGCCTGCCAAGACATGGAGACGCTCATGGGGAGGCAGCTGGTGACCCGGTTGAAGTACCATCTGCACAAGGAGAAGGAGCAGATAGGTAAGAGGGCACTGCTCGGGGCTGGCACTGAGGGCTACTGCAGAGAGTGGCAGGAAGCTGCCTGGGGTGGCGTGCAGCATCTCTGGGATGCTTCCCAGCTCAGTGTCCCTGCCAGAGAACGGGGGTCAGTGGAACACTAGTTCTTTGCTCACAGCTCAGGCCCAGTGGCAATATCCCTCCTGAGCCATTCATAACAAAGAGCCACACTGGGAACACCAGGAAGCATCTGTCCACCCCCACCCCCAACTCAGTATGCACCGGGTAAGGATCAGAAGTGGGGGCAGTGGCTTGGATTACAAGCTTGCTGTATTAGTTCCATCCAATGGGGTGCGATGAGGAAAGTCCCTGGTGCAGAATCCCGGGACATGGAGGGGGAGGGATGGCTTGTGCTGGGGGGAGGGGAGCTCATCCTGATTCCTTTCTCCTGCTTACAGCTTTCAAAGGGAACGGCCGCCCCATCACCAGTTACTACCAGTACAGCCTGGGGGTCTTGGCCCTGTGTGTCCATGGCAAGAAGATCGACACCCATGTGATCCAGAAGCTCCTGAATGCTGAGAAGCACAACAAGTTCACGCATGGCGGCAAGCTCTCCGTGGGTACGTGCTTGTTGGCATGGTCCTCTGTGCCAGCTCCCCAGGCTAGCCGGCCTTCCTGCCCTGACTGGAGACAGCACAGCCTTTGCATCTCCCTTGGGAGGTACATGCAAGTCAGCTCCCTCCGAGAGGGGTTTGGTTTCTCCCATTCTCAGCTCCGTGCTCCAGCCACACAGGGCCGTACCTCCACTGAAGTCGCTTGGGCATGGGGTGGTTCTCTTCGTAACCCCTTCTCCTGCTCTTCCTCACACAGACACCAAGGCCATGGCAGGCTTGGCCTTCGCCTGCCTGGAGCAGGCCAACCTCTACGAGCCCAGGCTAGTGGCAGCGATCAGCCTCGCTGTCCAGAGAGTGACGGACAGGATTCTCCAGGCTCAGACCACCAAGGGCACCTTCGGCAACATCTTCAGTAGCCCACTGGCCGTGCAGGTGGGGAGAGCGGGTCTCTGGAGCACGTCCTCCTCCTGCGTGGCTTGCAGGATCCCAGCATTGCCAGCTTCCCGTAGCATAGCCCTTTGTTCTGGGGGAGCCCTCTGAGGATACGTCTGCACTGCACACAAAGCCCGTGAGACATCCACACTGCAAAGAAGGACCCGCGGCACCGAGTCTCAGAGCCTGGGTCAGCTGACTTGGCTCACCCGGCAGGCAGTGTGGATGTTTGGCTGCGCTGGAACCCGAGCTCTGAAACCTGGCAAGGGGTTGGGTCTGACAGCCCGAGCTCCAACCCGAGCTGCACATCTACACAGCTATTGTCAGCCCCGTAGCACGTATCCTGCGAGCCCAAGTCAGCTGACCCAGGCTCTGAGGCAGGCTGTGTACTCTCGGTGTTTCCAAGTCCATGCTTGAACGTCCACATGGCATTGTGAATCTGGGTTTACTGTTGTTGGACTCGGATCTCAGCTGTGCTAATGTGACCATGCTGCACTATGCAGACCTTCTGACTGGTGTCTATGGCTTGAGCTCCCTCCACACTGCAAAGTGACAGGGTTTGGACCCGAGTCGCAGCAGGACTTGGGTGCTGACCCACCCCCAGCAGGGTCCTAGGACTGGGCCCTGAGTGCTTGCTGACCAAAGTCAGACTGATTTGTGTGTGGATGAAGGGGTGCTTGAGCTCAAATCTGAGTCAGAGCCCAGGCTCAGTGTGCAGTGTAGACATACCCCGAGTCACCTGCTTGTCCATCAGCATTACCTCTGCCCTGCCCCATCTTCTTACCGTACAGAGTACAAACTGGCTTAAAGGGACATTGTCCATTTAAAAACATAGGGCCTGGGTCAGGTCTCACACTGATGTTCTGCTTCAGTGGAGTTACTCCTGATCTACACCAGCATCTGGCTGATGTAGGTTTTTTCCCAATGTCCTTGCCTGATTTAGTACCATAAAACTGACAGAGGTCAGCAAATCAAATCCAGTCTTTATCACCAGGCTAGCTAGGTTTCTGGGATCTCTTACCCTCACTCCTTGCTGGAAGGCAGTCCCCTCTGGGGTGGAAGCAGCTGCTCTTTAGCAATCTCCATCATCACTGCACAGTAACTTAGGACAGGAAATTAAGAACAATTTCAGCTGATCCTGGAGTGGGAAGAATGATCCCATGTTGGAATTTGGAGATCCTGGAGTTAACGGATTCCACTCTGAGAAAAAGTGCCAGTCAATGTGTGAGGGCCACAAGCAGGAAGGGCCTTGGTTTTGTCTCATTGGTTCATTTGCTTTTTGCACTTGGCTCAGCTCAAATAGAAAAACTAGTTGGTCGGTTGTGCTTCCTGGTTCTCCTGCACTAGCGCATGGCCAGCCTCTCTGAGTTTCTAACATAGGGCGAGCAGGGATGAAATTGAAATCCTAGTCTATTTGAATCTTTTCTGAGTGCCAGGCCAACATTATTTGGCAATGCTCCTTTAATGGAAAGCACGCAGAATGATGATGAATAGGACTCTGTGTCTTTCACAGAGGTTGCGGAAGTTATGGATTTCATGACTTTCTGCGACCTTTGTGACTTCTGCAGCGGCCAGTGTGGCTGAACCCAGGGCTGCCCAAGCAGCTGGCCCCGGGGACCACCTGAGCAGCGGTCCCAGGGGCGCAGTTTGGCGGCCCGCAGCAGCGGTCTCAGGGGCGGACGCAGCAGCGGCAGGTGAGCAGCCCAGCAGCCAGCCGCACCAGCACTGCTGGAACAGCCCCGGGCAGCTGGCCCCAGGGAGCACCTGAGCAGCGGCCGGTGCAGCTGGCCCTGGGGACCACCTGAACAGCGATCCCGGGGGCTGTGGGAATAGCCGCAGCTCAGTGGCCCCCAGCAGCTGGTGCCACTGGCCTGTGAGCCCCCCACCCAGCAGTGGCCCCCCAGCTTCCCCGCCCAGAGCAGTGCCTCCTGGCCCCTAGCTAATATTTAGTCAGGGGTATTTATAGTACAAGTCATGGGCTGTGAATTTTTGTTTATTGCCCGTGACCTGTCTATGACTTTTACTAAAACTACCTATGACTAAATTGTAGCCTTAATGATGAGCAGGCTTATTTATATGGAGATATATCTATCTCATAGAGCTGGAAGAGGCTATGAAAGGTCATTGAGTCCAGTCCCCTACCTTCACAGTAGGACCAAGTATCATTCCTGACAGATTTTTGCCCCAGATCCCTAAATGCTCAAGGATTTAACTCACAACCCTGGATTTAGCAGGCCAATGCTCAAACCACTGAGCTATCCCTCCCCCCTAGTTAGCTGTAAGTGTGTTTGGCACACATGGGACAGTCACTCACCCCAGGGATAATACCACCCCAGGCCCCCCAGCTCTCTTCCCCCACATGTTAAATTGTGTCAGGCTGCTGACGCTTCACCCCTACAGGTGTTACTATCCTGCCCTTCCTCTTACAGTGACATGCTCAATTTTATCCTGACCCCACGTCCATCCCCGGGTGGGAGCAAACTGAGCAGGTGTCCGCCCACCCAACTCATGTGAAGGGAAGTAGCTGCCTTGCAGGGGGTGTTGCCCGCCAGATGGTTCACTTTCCCCTGTAGTTGGCTTTGACACGGGGGGTCAGCTGTTTGAAATGAGGCTTCTCTCCCTTCCTCTGAACCCTTCCTGTTAGCTCTTGATCGCCACCGGGATGAGCAAGAAGCCAGAGTGTCCCAAAGGCATGGATGCCCTGCTGGGGAGCCTGGAACAGGGTCACTTCCAGAACCCCATGATCATGTCCCAGCTGCTGCCCGTGCTGGATGGCAAGAGCTACCTGGATATTGCCACCATGGAGTGCCGGGCAGAGCAAGGTAACAGGAAGGACAGGGATGCTAGAGTGAGGGGCAGGGTTTGGGAGCCCTGGGTCCCACACCTAGTTGCAGATCCCACCAAGAGGAAGGGAAGGGGAGAGGCTAGAGTTACTATCCTACTGCAGTAGGGGCCTTTGAAGAAAGGAGCTAGGGTGGAGAAATCCCAGGAGCCCAGCAAACATGCCCCAAGAAGAGGGAAGACTAGGGCAGCAGGTTGTCATGCTAGGGCTCCCCACAGGGGTCTGCGCACAGGCGCCGCATAGGTGGGGGGGGGGCGGCATGGGGAGCTGCCAGTGGGTGCTCTGCACCCACCAATTTTTCTCCGTGGGTGCTCTGCGGCTGGAGCACCCACCGAGAAAAATTGGTGGGTGAGGAGCACCCACTGGCAGCTTCCCGACCCGCCCCAGTTCACCTCCACCTCCGCGTCCTCCCCTGAGCAGCTGCTGTGTCCTGTTTCTCCCCCTCCCTCCCAGTGCTTTTTTGTGCGGCAAGCTGGGAGGGAGGGGGGAGGAGGAGTAACGCAGCACGCTTGGGGAAGAGACGGGGCCAGAGTGGGGATTTGGGGTGGGGATCCAATAGGGGCAGGGAGGGGGCAGAGTCAGGGCAGGTCCGGGGGGGCTCGAGCACCCACTGGCACCAACAAAAGTTGGTGCCAGTGGGTCTGCATGACTATTGGTGCTTCGGACAGCCTCTCCCTCTTTCTCAGACACTTTGGAGCTAGACACCAAGTGCCCAGGATCCAGGACAGTAATTCTGGGGACCAAGATGATCACCGTTCAGCTGGCTGTGGAGCACCCTCCGAGCCCTGAGACACTGTACAACCACTCCATCCAAGTGCCCTCTGGGTCCTCCCTCCAGGACGTGCTGAGAACCGCTGTGGAGCAGGGCCCTGAGCAGTTCACGTGAGAGCCTCCTGCTTGTGCTGGGAACAAACTGATGGGGAGGCCTGGGAAGAGGAGTGCGCCGCCTCCTAAAGGGGCGGGGGGAGGCAGTCCAGGGCATGCCCACCCACAATGCTAGCAGGGAATCTGCCTGCACACCTCCAGGACTAATGCTAGGAAGAGTGGCCCGGGGCCCAGGCCTGTAAGGCAGAGCTTCTTGGTTCCGTTCCTGGCTCTGACACTCATTCACTGTGTGTCCTTGGATAAGTTGCTCTCCCTCCCTGTGCCTCAGTTCCCCCTGCCCCGCTCCCATAATATGGGGATGATCACACCCACCAACCTGCTGTGAAGTGCTGTGAGACCCTTCGGTGCAATGCGCTGTTAGTTAAGTAACAATACAGTGTCCCGTCCGCCTCCTGGACCTGGTCTGGATTTTCCAGGCCCCCTCAGGGATTCCAGACAGTTACCAGGTGTCAGATTCTTACGACAGTTCTGGGACATCCGTCACTATGAAACAACCCCTCTGTGCTTGAATAGGTTGTAGTTTCTGTAGGGATCTACTGGGTATGTGGGGAAGGTCTGTACAAGTGGGATGATCCTGAAGGGAGAGTAACAGGGTCTCCCCAAACCTGGCATCTGCTTCAGTTTCCTCACTCTTGTGCTAGCCGGCAGACCAATTCAACAGCCAGCACATTGGGAAAGCTTCCTCCAGTATCAGCATTTCATTCCCTTCTCCAAGGCGGAGATTTATTGTTCACACAAACTCAGTGCAACATCAGTCCAGATAGGTGAACCAGGCCCTGCCATCTGACGCCTTCTAACGCCTCTGCCTCAGGGGCTTCTGCTGCTGCCAGCACCCCAGGGATCCCCAGCCAGGTCTCTCCCCGGCTGGTGTGGCCAATTCCCTTCCATCTCTGTTCTCTGGCCCAGGGTCTCCTGCAGGAGCCTGTCTGCAGCGCTGCTTGTTAGTCTTTTATCCCACCTGCGGGAAGGCAGCTAGTTAGTCATAGGTGGGGGCTATACCCAGCACCTCCCTGTGACAGGAGGTTTGGCACCATGTGCAGCTATGTGTGGTCAGGACTATGCTCCTAGCCCATCAGTCCCTGTGCAAGGGCCCTGATGTCGGGGACACACTGCTGTTGCTGCCTGAGTGGAACCAAAGTAGAAACAACCTGCTCTCTGCTCTGCCTGGGGGTCATGTCCCCTCTTCTCCTTCCCCTTCAACTCTAGGTATGAAACCCAAAACACCCTGCATGGGCCGTTGTTAACCGCAGTGATGGGGGTGAAAGCCAGCAATGGAGAGCGGAGATACTGGCAGCTCCTCCAGGCCCCAGCCACCAGTCTTCAGAAAGGTGAGGGAAACAGCGCGTGGGAAACAGTGCAGTCTGGCACCTTGCGTGGTCAGTGTGTGCTTGGGGGCCCCCCAGCTCCCCTTGCCGCCCCCCCCAAGGCAGCCCTGGAATTTTCTGTCAATTTGCTGCTGCTGCAATGCACCAAAAGCTGCTCTAAAGAACACGGGCAGGGGCTGTTTGCTCACGTGGCTATGAAGGGCAATGAATTCTGGGCAGAGGGGTACAGCTCTGGGGCATGGAAAGGGAGAGTGCTGTAAGAAATGGACCTGCTGGCCTGGATCCACCCCTCTTCCTAGGCCGCAGGATTCTTCCAGGGATCGACCAGCTTCAAGAAAGGCTTTTCCATGCATCACATAGACCCTAGGGGCCAAATTCAGGCTGGTGTAAGCAGGTGTAATTCCCATTACTTCAGTGAGAGCTGCATCCCTCAGGGCTGGATTTGGTCCCGTATCTCCAGATGGTGCATAAAGGGGTTATGTGCCAGCTGCCAAAGGAATCGCAGTGATAAAGTGCAGTTCTAGCCTAAAATGTGGTTTTAAAGTGGCACCCTCTTGCTTGGCAGATCTGCTCTCTGTGGGTCTGATGTCCCACTGTCCAGCACCTTGTGCTGTCACCTACCCCTCTGCACAGTTGCTGCTGGAGGCAAGTTGAGCCATCTGGTTTGGTGGCTTTGTGCACAGCTGTTATAGGGCTACGTGAGGTGCCAGGGAATGGGGAATCCGGCTACATGCGTGGGTAGGTCAGTGCTGTCTGAAGCTCAGGTAGATGTACCCATGGCAGCGTTGCTACACAGAGCAGTGTAGATGCAGTGCCGTGGGTGGCAGCAATGTGAGTAGGTACCCAGGGATCCAGGCTGGCTTGGCGAGCCTGTGCTGAAGCTCATGCCACTGCAGCTACACTGCACTGTTTGTAGCAATGCTAGTGCAGGTAAAGCTAGCAAGGATAGGTCTGCCTGAGCTGCAGTCACACCTTGGATTGCAAGCTAGACCTGCCCTGTGTCCCAGCCAGATTAGCCCACTTTAGAGATGAGTGTGGTTGCTGTTACTGCTGCAGCAGCCGGCACTGGGGAGAGAGGTGGATTCCATTCTGGCTCACGCATCATCAACAAATCCCACCTTCAGAGAGCCCGGGGCTGCCCCACTGAAGACAGTGGCTCTTTTCAGGGGACTCCTTAAGCCTGTATATATAGTGCCTGCCATCACCAGTGGCTTATATCCCAGGGGCAGATGTGAAGCAGACTGGGCATGTAGGGACAGGTAGCTACGCAGGTGGCTTGAGATGCAATAATAGCTCTTAGGGGAACCTAAATAGGCTGATAGGTTTCAGAGTGGTAGCTGTGTTAGTCTGTATCAGCAAAAACAATGAGGAGTCCTTGTGGCACCTTAGAGACTAACAAATTATCTCAGCAAGGTGGGCCAGACTCGCTGTAGGCCGATGGCACAGAAAAGGTCTGGGAGAAGATAAAGGAGCACATGACTCAGGAAGTCAGACCTAGTGGTTGGAGCAGGGTGGTCAGCATCCAGGAACAGCACCAAAGGTCAGAGCTGTGGTCAGAAACCAGAGCAGGAGTCAGAGCCAAGGGACAGGAGTCCAAGAGCGAGCCAAGTGGCAGGTCTGTCACTATGGCTGGCAGGGGAGCATAGAAGCTTCAAGAGAAGCTGTCAGTCTGGCCTGCTGTGAGGGCTCTATCATGGCTGCTAAGTAGTGGCATGGAGATATCTGCCTTCCCGCAGACCTGGGGTCTAGCCCCGCAGAGCCCCAGGAAGGCTTATACGTAAAAAGAGCAATTCACAACCAAGTGTCCTACTTAATGGGAGCCATCAAGATTCCAAGCCACCATTAATGGCCCACACTTTGCATAATTACAATAAGACTTCAGAGTAATACTTCATATTTCTAGCTTCAGATACAAATAGGATGAACACAGTCAATAGATTAAAAGCTTTGTAATGATACCTCATAAGCATATTTCCATAACATATGGAGTGCAACATCACAACTCCATGATGTCGCCCCTTTGGGGCTCAGCTACTGCTCTGGGCTCCATCTCATCAAGAAGGATGGTCCAATGGTTAGAGCACTAGGCTAGGACTTGGGAGACAAGGGTTCAGTTCTCTTGGGCTGGTTACTCACTTGCTCTGTGCTTCAGTTCCTCACCTGTACAATGGGGATAATAGCACAGCCCTGCCTTGCAGGGTGATGGGAGCATAAATACATTCGATATTGTGAGGTATGAGACACTACAGTGAAGGGGTGGATAAGCACCTTAGGCAGATCCTCCAAGCACATGAGCCAACACCCAGGAAATCATTCTCAGTGCCTCCTGCATGAGGAATGGTACCAAACCCCGAGGAAGCCGACTGTCTCTGAGGTAGTGGCTCTTGCTCCTAATTCAGCTGTGCTGCATGAATTCCTTAATCTGTGCCCAGGCTGCTCCTTCTGACTCATGGACTTGTGCTCTGCTGTCTTGTTTTGTAGGCATCTCTGACTACCAGCCTCAGGACGGAGAGTCCATCATCCTGAAGTTTAGCCCATGGTAGACAGCCTGCTGCCTGCCTTCCAGCTCCCTGCCCCACCTCAATCCACAGTGAACTCTCTGTGTGTCTCTCTCTCTGCCCCAGAAGCAGGAGGTCTCAGCTGGCATACGCTTGTCAGCCTGCAAGCCCTGTGCCCACAGAGTGGCATCTTCCTCCCCACAGACTGAAGTCCATAACGCAAGTCCCTGGCCCTCCTGGCGGGCGTGCGTGCGTGTCAGTCAAAAAGGGCAAATTCCCTCCTGCCCCGGAGACCTGTTCTGCTGTGGATCAACCACAACCATCCACTCAATGGAAACTGACCATGCCAGGGGGTGGGGAGCAGCAGGTTTGGTGTGAATGAAAAACCTTGAATATGACGACACAGCGCATCATAATTCTGATTTTCTAATGCAGCTTTAACCCTTGCTATGCTGTGGCTGTCTAAACTGCCACACAATGAGTACATAGGAGGAGGTGTCTGCATCTTCCTGCTGGACACACTTTGCTCTCCCCGGGCCCACTGTACCAGCACCCTGGTGTGACTGGGCTCCTGGGAGTTCTCTAGACTGCATCCCTCTTAAGCAGTCACTGCACGGCTCGCAGGCCAGGGATTCCCTCCCTGCTCCCGCCCCAATTCCTGAAGTGACAGAACTGCTGCTATGATGAGAGGATGTGGCTGATATCTCTGCTGTCTGGAGAGCAGTGGGTGGGAACCTGGCACCTGTGCCGAGGGGAGATGGTGCCTCCATGCAGCCACTCTCCCTCAGTCTGACATTTGGATCTAAAATGATTAAAGCTTTGATTGCAAACCTTACATTCCAGTTTGTCATTTGGCCCTTACCCAGAGCACCCAGGTCTCTGAGCCAGGCCTGGGCCCTCAGCACAGCACAGAGCTGCCTTCAGGTCTGGGCATTGTCCTCTGGGTTTGCATCATTCCCTACAACCAATGGACAGTTCTGTTCTCCTGGGTGACTAATCACCAGTTTGATTTTTATCTATTATTTGTATGGTTGTAGTACCTAGGTCCCCCAGTCATGGACCAGGACCCCATTCTGTTTGCCAGAAGCTGGGAATTGGTGACAGTGGATGGATCACTTGATTACCCGTTCTGTTCATTCCCTCTGGAGCACCTGGCATTGGTCACTGTCAGAAGACAGGCTACTGGGCTAGCTGGACCATTGGTCTGACATAGTATGGCCATTCTTATGTTCATTGTGCTAGGTGCGATATGGACACAGAACAAAAAGACACCGTCTCTGTCCCGCCCCAGAGAGTTTACAATCTAGGAATAAGACAAGAGACACCAGATGGAGAGAGACAGGCAAGTACAAAGAAACAAAGACAATACTGGTGGTGATGGGCAGTGATCTCTGCACACCAGCAGCCTAACTGGTGTCAAGATTTGTATAGGCATCACAGCAAAGGAGAGTTTTGAGGCAGGACTGGAAGGAGGACAATGTGACACTAAGAACACGTCTTCACAGCTCGCACTACTATGCTAGTAATCTTGTACAAAATATGCCTTGTGAGTTATCATTTGAAAACTAATAATTCACTGATCATTAATATTCTTGCATGATGTATGTACATGATGGGTATTAAGACACCAATATATGCTGGAGTTATAACTAAAGTGTATGTGAACTAGATAGGTCAGGCAAGTTGTTAAGCAGGTCTAGCCTAAAGAAAGAAATGTGTTTACCTCAATTTACATATAAGTAGTAAACAGTCTCATCAGTCTAACAAGGGGTGGAGGCAAAGTCACATTAACAAGCTGGGGGGTGGAGGAAGGCAGCATGGCGCCCACATCTGGCAAGAGCGAAGCTTGGTCTGGGATTTACTTCTCAGAAGAATCCAGTGCAAAGGTTCACTGGGCTATACAGACAGGGGGGCTGAGCCTCAAGTGATAAGCAACTGAATCAGCTGATTGGATACAATATGACCCTATTATACAAGTGTTCAGAGTGGGGTCTTTGCTGAAAGCCTCTGAGATACTGGTGATTAATATCACTGTGAACAGCCTGTATTAACACTAGGAGGAATTATGGATATTCATTGATATGTTTTAAAGTGTGAGGCCAAACAAAGGAAGAGACAGTTCCCTCCCAGACAAGAGGTGGGCGAGCTATTTACCTGTCACCTATGTAAATTAAGCCTGATAGAATCAAAACAATGGAAGCCCCATTTACGTAGAAATCACACTGGGAGATGGGAAGCCCACAGGAAGGGAAGAACAGCATGAGGTCATCCTGCCTCTTGAACCAAGGTCATTGAGCTTTGGAAGATATAAGCAAGGAAAGAAGCCACCTTTGGCATCACCAGAGCCCAGGGAGCAGAGCTCTTGCAAGCAGGGGAAGATGGGTCCTTCAACCAAGAGGTGGGGGCTGAAGAGGGAGTTCTCCGGGTGAAGGAGGAGCAAATACAGGACCCTTGAGGTAAGTGGCTGTCTGTAGTGTGTGTTTGTGTTTGGGGGTTACTTGATGTGTGCTGAGCTTGTGTTTGTCTGTCTGTCTGTTTATTTGTTTGAAGGACCGTGTGCTGTGGCCGACATTTGAAAGCTGTGAGCTTCTAAACAAGGTTTGAACTCTAGAAGCCTCTGTTAATTGGCTGAGCCTTAGTCAGGGGGCGGGGCTGTCAGGGAGGCCAGGGCTTTATAAAGCAGTGAGTCAGTGACCAGGGGCCGCTAACAAGGAGCTTCGAGAGGAAGTTTGGAAGGGGAGTGGGAAGGGGGTGAGGTACACTTGCCATTCCTTAAAACCTTTAAACTAAACTATAATCAAAACTTCTTGATTTAAACAAAAACCCCTGTCAGTAACCTAGGCAGCTGTAGGAGATTGGGGGCTATCTTGTTTCTTGCGCTCAGTGTAGCATGAATGATTACCTGCCCTGTGGGCAGGTGGTATATGTGTACATTCGGTGCAAGGAGCTCCTGGCCCTCAGAGACTGCGTACGGGCTTTGGAGGCCAGGGTGGCGGAACTGGAGGAGCTAAGGGAGGCAGAGACTTATGTTGATGAGGCTTTCCGAGACACTATAGATTTGTCCCACCCCCGGTCAGACAACCCCAGCACTGTTAAGGAGGATGAAAGGCTCAGGGAAGGAGAGCAGTCAACGGGAGCAGAGGGAAACCTTCCCATAGTTGGGACCCTTCTTCCAGATGATGTTGGGGTATCCTCTCGCACTGAGGATACCTCTCCGGGGGAGGGAACTCCAGTCATTAGGAAAAGGCAGGTGTTAGTAATGGGTGATTCGATCATTAGAAACAGAGATAGCTGGGTTTGTGATGACCGGGAGAACCATACGGTGACTTGTCTGCATGGTCCGAAGGTTGGGGATCTCTCAAGGCATCTAGATAGACTTATGTGTAGTGTTGGGGAGGAGCCGGTGGTCGTGGTACATGTAGGTACCAATGACACAGGGAAGGGTAGGAGAGATGTCCTGGAGGCCAAATTTAGGCTGCTAGGAAAAAGACTGAAATCCAGGACCTCTATGGTAGCATTCTCAGAAATGCTTCCAGTTCCCCGCGCAGGGTCAGATAGGCAGGCAGAGCTTCAGAATTCCAATGCATGGATGAGACGATGGTGTAGGGAGGAGAGGTTTAGATTTATTAGGAACTGGGGAAACTTTTGGGATGGGAGAGCCTATTCAGGAAGGATGGACTCCCCCTAAACCAAAGTGGATCCAGACTGCTGGCACTTAACATTAAAAAGGTTGCAGAGCAGTTTTAAAACTAGGAGAGCTGATTGCTGCAGAGGAGCACGTGGATCAGACAGAGACTTCTCTAGATTTTTAGTCAGGAGGAGAGGATGGAAGAGGATAAAGTAGGGGCCAGATCAGACAGGAAACATTCACATAAAAAAGAATCTGACACATCAGAAAAGGGCAGACAAATAAACAGTGACAAGTTTTTAAAGTGCTTGTACACAAATGCTAGAAGTCTAAATAATAAGATGGGTGAACTAGAGTGCCTCGTGTTAAAGGAGGATAATAATAATTGGCATCACAGAAACCTGGTGGAGTGAGGACAATCAATGGGACACAATCATTCCGGGGTACAAAATGTAGGTAGAAAGACAGAACAG